CTCTGCTTCTTAACTTTAGTGGGACTTTCCAAGAGGTGCGTCTTCTGATGCAGAACTGAATTCAGTTGGAGACTTACCTCCTAGGAGTGTCTGGGCATAAAGCAGTCATTATTTGTGTTCCCAGGCTCAGTGGGAGGCAGAGAGCCCAGGAACATCTCCAGGGGACAACTCCCTGGAAACCTTTCCACTGCCTAAGGCAGTCGAGAATGAGACTGAGTCCTGTGTATGTGTGGGGACTCTTTCTGGGGCCTCCAAAAATGAAATAATCCATGTGGAAGATATAGACCACCACACTAATTATGCCTATCAAGACTGTAAGAACATTTTCATTTTGGCCAGAATGACCTAGAGTGGGCTAATGCCTCAGAGTTTCTTCCTGTTGAAGCTCAGGGGTAAAGTGTTTTAAAAGGCAAACTCCGTAGAAACCACAATTACATCAGCTTTCGATGAGGGTCAGGCCAGAGTAGCTCTGAAACATCTGCTTATGTGGAACATAGTAGTTATTTCAGATACAACATACAATTAATTTTGATTTATATCTTTTATAGTTATTTTAGTTTACATTTAGTTTGTATAAACATTACTTATTTTGGTTAATACAACTGGACATAGTCAGGGTCCATCCAGAATCAGGGATGGAAATCCCAAACGCCTTGCCAAGGCAGATGTGGCTCTTGGGGGGCAGATAGAGGGCTGAGAAGTCTAAGCAGACACAAATGGAGACAGGACAAGATGTCCTCTCCCTCTCTGGCTTTTGGCAGACATTCAATGTGTAAATTCTAGCACATGGTCAGTGGTCAGTGACTCAAGTAACACTGATGCCACCCTGTGTCTTCTCAGGGATGGAGAACACCTTGGAGTTTACACAGTGTGCTCCTGCCTGCTTCTTAGAGTTGCAGGTGTAGACATTGGTATTTGTTGTTTTTTGTTTTTGATTGTTTCAAAGATAACTTGTTTAATTTAACTCTTTTAAAAAATTATTTTATTTATTTACATTCCAAATGTTGCCCCCTTCCCAATACCCCCTCCCAGAGTTCTTCACCTCATTCCCTCTCCCCTGTGCCTCTAAGAGGATGATCTTCCCGTCCACTCATCCACTTACTTCCACCTCACTACCCCCAGGACCCCCTTCCCTGAGGCATCAAGTCTCTACAGGATTAAGTGCATCCTCTCCTACTGAGGCCAGACAAGGCTGTCCTATGTGTTGGGGCGGGGGGAGGCCACAGACCAGTCCTTTTGCTCTGTATCTCATTGTAAACTCAGGTAAAAGTAGTTACAACTGTGACCCAACCTGGATGCTATGCAGTCATGCAATTTTGTCCACCAAATAAGTTAGTCTTTTACTTTTGAATGCAGCCTTTCTCAAATGTTTAGATTATAGGCAGAACATAGCCAGATTCTTTGCCAGAACATATAGGAATAGCTTCTGTCTTAATTTTCTGTAAGATCTGTGTTCCCATCTGAAAGCTCACGAGTGAACATTTCTGTCCACATTCTCATCTTTAGAACACCACCGGAATTACACAATAAGCTCTACAAATGACTGAAAAAAATGTAGTTTGGTTAATGAAGGGATGAAGGCCTGTTTACAGCTGCTAAAGAACTCAGCACCATCAAAAAGCATCATGTTGTGTTGCTCACAACTGCCTGGAACTCCAACTGCGGCAGGATCCAGTGCCTCTGACTTCTCTGGGCACCTGTACTCTCATGCATGTATCCACTCACACACATATGAATGTAATTAAAAGTAAAAAATAAACCTAAAGAAAGATGTTCCACATTGCACCTGAAGAATAGGAGAGTACCTTGAGGTTCCACCCATCAAAGGGTTAGGAAGCAAAAATGCAAACTCCAAGTGAAGGACTTTCAACAAGAGAGTTCCCTTAGAATAGGGCATCAGGGTGTCCTGCCTGCAGATAACCATTTAGGGAAGCGCTTGTCCAGGCTCAGCTGTGTAGGCATTCAGAGGCCACTGCAGTCATGGCCTGAAGGTTCCGGGCTACATTGTGAGATGTGGTGATGGCTCTAGTTTTGGTCTAGCTCTTTCTGCTTCCTGATGAGCTGAGATGTGTGGCTTGGCCACACGGTCCAGTGCTTTGAGCGCAGCTGTGTCTTCCCTGTCATAAGGGACTGAAACCACAAGCTCAAATAGATTATTTCCTCCATTTAGCTGTTATCTGTTGGGTAATCTGTCACAGCAGAACAGAAAATGACCAACACAGCATGGAAGTGAAGCCAAGGGGAGAGGGGAGAGTAGCAGGAGACTCCCAAGGCCAGGTGCAGTGGGACTTGATGCTCCTGCTTCTATGCTCCAAACCCATTGTGACTGGATGCTGTACACATGATAGCTGCCACTGATGGTAGCCATGATGGCTGGTCTGGTCTAAGAGTCCCTCCATCCAGTGCCTCCTTGGGCATCATTCCAAACTTATCTTCCTCTGAAAAGAAGGTCTCCTAGAACATGGAGGCCTCCACTTTACCCACAGTCCTACAGTCTTAGTCAGGATTTCTATTCCTGCACAGACATCATGACCAAGAAGCAAGTTGGGGAGGAAAGGGTTATATTCAGCTTACACTTTCCACATTGCTGTTCATCACCAAAGTCAGTCAGGACTGGAACTCAAGCAGGTCAGGAAGCAGGAGCTGATGCAGAGGCCATGGAGGGATGTTACTTACTGGCTTGCCTCCTCCGTCTTGCTCAGCTTGCTTTCTTATAGAACCCAAGACTACCAGCCCAGGGATGGCACCACCCACAATGGGCCCTCCTTCCCTTGATCACTATTTGAGAAAATGCCTTACAGCTGGATCTCATGGAGGCATTTCATCAACTGAAGCTCCTTTCTCTGTGATAACTCCAGCTTCTGTCAAATTGACACACAAAACCAGCCAGTATACCTACCCTTATGAGACCTGCTTTCAAAGCACTAGGAGACCCCAAAGAGCCTAGCTCTGTGAACTCCCCTTCCTGTCTACTCTGGTTTATGAGCCAACTTCCTGTCAGTAGCTCACAGTATAATCAGTTAGATGTTCAACATGGTCCTTCTCCCTGGGGATGGAGCTCCTTAAAGGTGGCTGGCTCACTTATGACACAGAAGATCACCCCCTCCCCCCTTTTATTTCTTTGTTAGGTTAGGCGCACTTTACAATCCTTCTAACATATCATCTCATTTTTTTGATTAATTTCTTCTTGATTTTTCTATAATTATATAGTTTTTTGTTAACAACAAGATTATCCAGTGTACTAATTGGGCAATTTTCATACATTATATACAGTCCACACCACAACCTGACTGATTTTATAGATTCGAGGAGTGAAGCTCAGAGAAAAAGGTAATTGGCTATCAACATGCTTCTGATTTTTTCTTTTTCTGGCATTAACTCAAGAAGATAGGAAGTTTTCTTTCCATTGGGATGGAAAAGGGAAATGTTTGCATTTATCTTTTGAATTTTTTTTTTAAGTTTCAAAATAGGCTCCCAAACCCCCTTTTGAGACAGACTGTAGACGGGAAAGCCAAATATTTGGATTCTCACAAGCCTACATTTTTGAAAGGCACTGTGACGGTTAATCTCACTTGTCAACTTGACTCCTTTTGGAAGTAACTAAAAGCCAAGCAGCTGGACAAACCTGTGAGGAACTTTTCTTGGTTGGATTATTGTAGGTGGGAAATCCACTTTAAATCAGTAATAAACCCCACATATATCCATCCTTCACCAGCTGGCTAATTGGAAACCATATAAACAGTTAAGCAGTGTTATCAAATGGGAACCCTGATGGACTGATATACTGATGTACTGATGGCTCAGAGGTCGGTAAAATCTTAGTGGGAAGAGTATCTGGCTATGGTAGTAGCCTTGGGTGGGTAGGAGGTGGAATCAACAGGACATGATTGATGGATATGGGTCGAAGTCCAAATTTCTTCATCTAGGTACCTGCTCTGGCCTAGATCTTCCACTGCCCTTGCCAGTGAATGTCTTGGTTCCAGAATGATCTTACTTTTTCTAGGCTCTGCACTGTCCCCATGTTGTTGGTTGAAAGTGTTAGGCTGGGCTCTGCCTGGCAGAACATTCTCTCACTCTAGCAATCCGATTCTTTTGCCTCCTGGGCTCGAGGGGAGGCACTGGAGCTCCTAAGTTCCAGCACCTGGCTGGAATTTGCAATTATTGAACCAAGCAATTAACAACAACAACAACAAAGGAACAGGATGAAAGGAAATGAGATAAAGAGAGAAAGGTTGGAGATATTGGTGCTCAAGTCAGACAGACATTATAACCACCTGTCTGTCTGATGTTCCAAGAAAATCCTCATTGGAGAGCAGCTATAGGCAGATCAGAACAGCACCTGCCTTTGCTAGCTGCAAGAGCCAGAGCAAATAGGACTAAGGACTTAGAATAGTCTAAGGTTTGCACTTGACAGTGTCTACAGGCCTGTCCTGTTACTAGAGGCAGTGCCTTCTGCAGTCAAGTGGGGTGTAGGGTGGGGTTGCTACTTGGGAGAGAGGAGCTACTAAAGTCTAGGTTGGTTTATCCTGAGTCCTGTGCGCTCTGGCGGCTCCTGAGCTGTGCTTTCCTGACTGCTCCTGCTGATTTGCATTCTGAATTCTCTTTATCTTGGCTTTGACCTTTTCTCTTCTTCCTTTGCTCTTTATTTCCTTATCCACCAGGTCCTCAGGAGAGCAACACATGAGCCCAGTGCCGAGGCTGGGCTTGCATTCGCAGCAGTGTCTCTGTGACTTGCAGGAAAATGGAAAATCTTGCCCTGTGCTTCCTCTTGTCTTGACTTGTTGTATTTTTAGTTCCCCATCCTCACTCTTCTCCCTTTTAATTTAATTTTATTTTTAATTTTTAAAGAAAGGACATGTTTTCTGCAATGTCCCAATATCTGGGGTTAAGACTGGACAAATTATGAGCAGAGGTTTGGGAGTTAGGCAATTTTTGGGCTGTGTGGCGTGACCTTGGGGCAAAGTCCTTTTAGGATTCTCCACTAAACTCCCTCTCTGGCCCAGAGATAGCTACAAACTGGAAATCCCACTTCTCTGCAGTTAGCCTGCTGAATTTGTTCCAGGTGGACTTCTCTTTGAGGAGAGCTCCTCTAACTAAGGTGCTTCGAACCCGTTTTAGTGAGGCAGCTAGGGAATCTGAGCCCGTCACATTTGAAGTCACTGGGATGTAGGACGACAGCACCCTCCGACTCTGCAGTAAGTCCCTTGAATAGCCTTTTTTGATACTTTGTTTTGGTGGTGATCTGGACAACACTTCCTGGTGCTTGTCTTCCCACATCTCCCTGTGGAAAGAGGGCTGAGCCAGTAAGCTGGGCCTGGTGTCAGCATCTAATACATAAGAAGCTCTCTCTCAAAGGAGAGGAGAGAATTGTGGTTCAGGCAAGGAAGGCATCAGCTCATTTGCTCTGGGCTGGAGTGAGTAACACAGCTGGTTAGGCCAGCTAGCTCATGCTGATCACAAGCTCCTGGGCAATTATAAATGTCTTTGATTAATAAAAAATGGGGTGATGAATGAATAGTTAATCAATGCAGTCTGGGCAGGAAGCCTCTCTCAGAACCTGGACTGGGGGTTTCAGCAGGGCTAGTGGAAACAATGAAAAGGATCCTTAGAGGTGAAAGGCAAGGCCCCCTCCAGTGATGGTTACTAACAAGCACCTCTGTCCTGATTCCATCTCCATGATTTTACGGTGGGGTTTTCTTGGCAGCTCTGGGGATAAACTTGGGGTGGGGAGTGAGTGATGAGCATGTGGGAAACAGTTTGTACCACGCCCACCCGAGTGGACAAGGTAATGCGTTGGAAACACAATGGCATCCACGTGCAGTTTGATCTCTATGTCTGGAACTGTGTTAAAACAAGCTTGGTTAGGGCGGCCTAGGCAGGATTTCCTAAAGCTTAAAGTCAGTCAAAAAAGACCCTGTCCGAATCCTAGACAGCTGTTGGAATAGGAGGAAAGAAGAGGGTTTTTTGTTTTTTCTTTTTTTTTTTTTAAAGAAGGAAGTGATGGAGACCGGGGCGGGTCTCAAGCCCTTACGGGAGGGGACGAGCAAAAGGCGGCAGAGGACTGGGAGGGGCGATGAGAGGGGGTGGGGGCAGATGCAGGCTTGGAACACGCGGGAAGGACTGGGTAGGATACCCGGCTGGGTCGGGCCGAGCTGGGCTGCGTCGGGCCGGGCAGAGCCGGGTTGGGCAGAGCCGGGCAGGAGGCTCTGGGCTGCCCGGTCGTGGTGGAAGGCGGTGGCCCGGTGGCGGTTTCGGTGGCGGTGGCGCTGCGGGGACAGCGATCTGTGTGAGAGTGGCTGCCAGCTGGAGCAAGAGCTATCTATGACTTGGTAGAAGTTAGTGAACGTCGGTAGAGGCAGCGGGGGATGGGAATTGTGGTTCTAGACAAGGCTTTTGTTGGGATATTTTTCATAGTAACCAAGTAGCCATGCGATCTTGGGGCAAGTTCACAAACCCTTCAGAAGTTTTTGTTTCACTATGTCGCACTGAAGCTGTAGACCGAGCATTTGCCAGTAGTCCCTTGAATGGCTCAAGTGGCTGCTCTTTTGGTGGATTGTATTCAGACTTTCAAGTCGGGGCTTCTTGGAGGTTCCTACCTCCGCTTGTGATGTCCCCAAACATTAGGCAGGATATCCCCCCTCCCCCAAGCATGTGTTGCCATTGAAACCTGCCTTACCTTACCCATGGGTAGTTTCACAGATATTGTGAATGAAAGGATGTGTGAACAGTGTTTTGGCGGGAAGTGGGGGATGGGTGTTGTTTTTGATTTTCCATGTTTGGGAATGAACTCTAGATAATATTCTATGGCTAAGCCACATTCCCTGGTCATGTATGAAAATTTTTACTTTCCAAAGCCTCAGGGCCTTTCTCCTGAGGACCTCTTTGCCTCAGCTGTCTTTTTCACAAGTTTCCTGTAGCAGACTGCTTCTGCCTTATTTTCCAGGATCCAGACAAACCATTCCATGGCATTTCTTGCTCAACCCTGAGACAGTTGGAACAAGAGGGCTCATTGAAGTCGACGGCTTGCCAGAGGAATTTTCCACACATCACTCCCAGTGGTTGACTCTGAAGTTCAGGATAGGATTTGTGGACCCACTTCATCTCAGACCATGGGCCTGCCCCTTTACTTGGCCACCTTCTTGACTGGTCTCCTGGAATGCATCGGTTTTGCTGGTGTCCTCTTTGGCTGGACTTCACTATTGTTTGTGTTCAAAGAAGAAAACTACTTTTTAAAGCCCTGTGAACAGGACTGCTTGCTTCAGAGCAATATAACAGGGCCCTTTGGTAAGGACGAAGATAGCTTTTTGAAGAAAGCTGTGCCTGGTTCCTGGGAGTTGGAAAAGAATTGGGAGGTCTCTGTTCCCTATTCACTCTGCCAGCCTTTCTATGAGGGAGGGACTGTCAGCCCCCTCTTACCCCTGGTGTGGAGGCTATCAAGGAAGGAAGGAAGAACCAGCTTTTAAAGGACCTTTAGAGACCAATACATTTTAAAGCAACTGGGTAGCTTTCTAGTCAGCAAAGTTGCTCAAGATAGAGGGGAGTCCAGTCTGGGAACTAACCTGGCAGGAAGGTTGGGGTTATTTTGATTCTGTCTCACATAATCAGGGTTCCTAAGAGCCTTTTCTTTCCCAGACTTGAAAGCGCAGGACGAGAAGTTCTTACTCATCTTCACCCTGGCATCCTTCATGAACAACTTCATGACCTTCCCCACTGGCTACATCTTTGACCGCTTCAAGACTACTGTGGCCCGCCTGATAGCCATGTAAGTCTAGAGCCCCAGTGAAGCAAGGAAGAGGGAGTGTTTAGGCAGCAGTCTGGCTTGGAGAGAAACCCTGCCCAGCAGATGGATCACAGTCTGTGGACTCTTTAGTAGCACCACCCTCTTCCTCCATGCTGAGTTTCCTTTCCTTTCCACCTTCCCCTGTAGTTGGTAATGTCTTATCCTGTTATATACTCAACTTCCTGAGAGGCCAGGGTTTCAAAATTAACAAAATGTATAGTTGATAGTGTCTGCTTTCCCTGTGCCTTGAATCCCCAGTCTCATTTCTGCAGGGCTTCATGTCTAGATGGCTCAGGCCTTGCCTTCATACTCTCCTGCTTATCGTTTTTTTTTCTAAGTAGCCCCACCCAGTGGTGGGCTTTCAGGGTCCCTCTGATAGGACAGGAGGCTCTTGCAGTGGGGGGGGGGGGAGTTCCCCTGCAAGTGAGTCAGAGACCTCATGCTCTTTTACAGTGTTCTGTTGCCTCCTGATTATGATAATGCCCGTGGGCAGGTTCCTTGATAAGCAGGGATCTGCTCAGCCCCAGTACAGCCCCTAGCAGGAGCATCTATGTGGTGATCTGTCAGAAGGATAGGAAAGTAGAGAGTAAAGCAAGTCCCTTACACTTAAGTTTTAGGGAGAATAAGTCACACATAAGCTTGAATTTTGTTTCCTGTTGTTTCTTCTCTGCCACTGTCCTTCTGCTTTATAGTGCCACCTTTGTTATCTATCTTTAAAAAGTCCTCTACCACTAAGGGGGCCCTGGAACTTTAGCATTTATCCTAGAATCACTTGAACTTTTTTTTTTTTTTTTTTAATGCTGCTGGGAATGGAACCCAGGGCTTCGTGAAAGTCAGGCAATTGTCTAATTCTGTGCTGGTGACTTTTCGGTTGCCGTGATTAAAAAAAAAAAGATTATGACCAAAGCAACTTAGAAAAGGAAACATTAAATTGAGCTTATGGTTCCAGAGACTATGATGGTGTAGGGAAGGCTTGGCCTTAAGGCTGCCGGAACAGCAGTAAGAGCCGACATCTGGATCCACAACCAGGAAGCTGAGAGTATACTGGGGGTGACATCACAGCCAGCCACCAGCACAGGCCTCCTCAAACAAGGTCGTGCCCCCTAATCCTCTCCACCAACTGAAAACCAAGTAGAGGAATGTATGAGCCTGTTGAGGGCATAGTCATTCAAACCATCACTACTTCTAAGCCACACCTCTAGTTGTGAACTCAATGACTTTGCGTTTGGAATTTAGATCTTTCTGATCCAGGCGTGTCCAACCCTTCTGAGATTGCGACACCGCGTTAACACCAAAACTCTTCAACAACCATGTAGTCCAGTTACACACACACACAAACACACACACACACAAAATCTTGATAACTTTTTTTACACTAATTTTATGATTCTCTTTGTTCAACTTCATAACTATTCTTGGTTGCATGTCGATTAATCCTTTCCTTTTCCAGAAAAGGCTACTGAGGCTCAGATAAAGTGTGGAGATAAAATTAGAATTCAAGGTTTTGATTTGCAGGCCAGGCATCAGCTCCCTTTTGCCAAGCGGTTGGCCTCAGGACAAGAGGGCCTGTGCCTTGCCTACTGCATTCCTGAGTCTTTTACATATCTATCTATTGAGCTCATTAGCCAAGATTTCCCAGTTTAGCCTTAGACACTGGGCTCTGGACTAGTTACTTTCTTGTTATGAGGATAAAAGACCGTGACAAAAGCAACTTAAGGAAGTAAGCCTTCTTACTGCTCCAGGTTCTGATCCATCATGGCAGGACATCCCAGCAGCAGGAGCTTGAGGGAGCTGTTCACATTGCATCTGAAGTCACACAAAAGATGGGGAGGGGGAGCTCACTTTCTCCCTTGTATACACTCCAGGATCCTCTGCCATCCAAATTGTCCCACTCCAGTCCAGATGGGTCTTCCAGTATCAGTTAATGTAATCAATCCATTGCCCAGGTGATTCTAGATTCTCATCGAGTTTACCGCTGAGATTTACGTTCACACTTAACTAGCTATGGGGTCAGGACTACCTCTGAGTCTATCAGGACTTCTCTGGTGCTGACCTCTCAGAAGTGGCCGTACCCCTGGAGTTCCCCAGCTGACAGTGCTGTTAAGTTCTACCTAGTGTTGGATGTCAGCTGAGCCGACTGCTGCACGGTCCTGACACTTCCTCCTTTAACTGGATGCTTCTGTCTTTCAGATTGTTCTACACCTGCGCCACACTCATCATTGCCTTCACCTCTGCAGGTGAGGGCAGACAGTTGGGAGGGAGGGGCAATTGGGGAGTGGACGGATGGGCCAGGTACAGAAGGCAAAGAAAGGGCCCATGATATTTTCATAGACCCACATTGTCTGTGAACATTTTACTCTACTGAAGAAAGAATTATATCTATACAGTATTAAAACGTTCTCCTGTGTTTTTTTTTGTAACATGTATGATAACTTTGAAAATGATCTTCACTTAGGAGAATCAAAATCCACAGCTCTGTTGCACGTAAAAATAATTGCTTCCAGCGATTCCTCTAAAAGCCTGTGCATTCCTGGCCTGTTTTCCTTTCCTTTGTTATGTTGGGAAGAAAACTGAGATGAGCTAAGATAAGGGTAAGCAGGAGTTAGTTTAATGACTTACCTAAGGCCATGGATAAGTATGTGGGAAGTGGACCTAGAAGCTGGAGGTTAGATTGTCCAAGAGGTAACTCGGTACCTTCTTCCCCAGGGGCAGATTAGGTGGCTTAATTTTGGGGGTTGAGAAATGAAAACAGTGATATCTGTTGTGTAATAGCTGTGACAGAGCCAGCTGATGTCATGAGGGAGTTTCTGCTTGTGTTCAGCCAACCCCAGGGGCTTGGTGTTTTGGTCTAACAAATCTCATGAAGTCACATTTGTAAAAGTTGAGCAATAAGCAAAGCGTATTTACTTATGTATGTCTATTATTATTTATTGTGTATTTACATTTGTGAATTTTGAACAAGAATCCCCTGTTACTTGTTTATATTATTATTTACTTATGTATATGTGTTGACATGTGTTCTCACTTGAGTGTGCATGTAGAGTGTGTGCGTTACTTACATCTCAGTAGAAGTCAGAAGTCTACCTTAGCCCCCTCAGGTGTCTTGTATTTTTGAGGCAGCATCTGTCGCTTTGTATCTAGCTCACTCACTTTGTGCTGGTTAGGTAATATTCGCTGGGCACAGATCCTCATGCTTACAGGGTAAATTTTTTTATTGACTAAGCCAACACCCCAGCTGTCTTAGACAATGTTGCATTGAGACACATGACCAAGGCAACTCTTAAAAAAGAAAGCATTTGGTTGGGGCTGGCTTACTATTTCAGAGGATTAGTTGATTATCAGCATGGTGGGAAGAGTGTTGGCACACAGGGAGACGTAGTGCTGGAGAGGTAGCTGAGAGTTCTACAACTGGATTCGCAGTCAGCAGGAAGGAGAGAGATAGAGATAGATAGATAGATAGAGAGAGAGAGAGAGAGAGAGAGAGAGAGAGAGAGAGAGAGACATGGGCTTGGCTTAGGCTTCTGAAATCCCAAAGCCCAGGCCTAAGTAACATGACACACTTCCCCCAATAAGTCCACACTACTCCAACAAGGCCATACCTCCTAGTCCCTGTCAAGTTCTCCACTCCCTAATGACCAAGCATTCAAATATATGGGCCTACGAAGGCCATTTCTATTCACATCACCATATCAGCTGAGCAAAAGTCTCTCTTCCTCCATAAAACAGGACTTTTGTTTTGGGGAAAGTATTGATGCTAGGAGATTTTACTGTGAAACTGATCTCTGATCTTTAGCTCATTAGGAGAGATGTACATTTGTAAACAACAGAAAGTGAATGGCAAATAGTGTGACTCATCTCTAAAATCATCTCTTTCCAGAGCTCATCTAGGCATCGAACAGTAGTTACTTAAGAGGAGGTCAAGATGTCTTAGAGGGTAATGATGCTTGCCACCAAGTCTGATGACCTGAGTTTGACTCCTAGAACGCACATGGTAGAAAGAGAGACCCAACTCCCACAAGTTGTCCTTTGGTCTTCACACATATGCCAGTGCACACATATATCACACACACATACACACACATATTACCACACACACATACACACATATATATATACACATAATACACATACATACCACACACACACACACGCGTGTATGCACACACATAAACATATATTACTACACATACATACCACCCTCCCCACATACACATGTATTACCACACACACACATACCACACACACACATACATAACACACACATACATCACACACACACACACACACACACACACACACACAGACAGACACAAATAAAATGTGGGAAAAATAGAGGATGCTAAAACAGGCCTAATATACCAGTAAGCTTTGGATTACCTGGTGCAAAAATTGCTCCTTTTAAGACTACTTTTTCAGTGATGTGGAGTCATTTAGAGCTTATCCAACACTTAGGAGGCCTGTTGCTTGCATGCCAGTTTTGCTTGCTTGATTGCTTGATGCTGTTGTCTTGTTTAGGACCAGGAGCATACTTACTCATGCAGCATTTCTAATGCCAAGCACCATGCCACAAGGCAGTGCTTAAATTTCATAAGCAAAGGGAAGGGTCCCAGACATTTCTCTCTCAGTTGTCACAGTGCTTGAATGAAGCAGGATAGAGTCTCTTGTCTCAGTTCATTGGGTGAGGAGAGCAAGGCAGATTCAGAAGGTAGCTCACGCAGTGATTTGAGGCTGGACTTGGTGGCTGACTCCAGAGTCCTCTCATCCCACAGTGATGGAACAGGCGTTTATGGTCTACTGCAGACCCATAATCGCCTTTGGTAAGGAGAAGGGGACCTCAGGACACATGAGAAAGCATGACTGGAGAGTCTCTTGACCATTCCCTAAGGCCCTCAAAAGACACCAGCAGACTGGTGAAGTGAGCTGCAAGTGCTACTGTGTTGTTTAAAGTTTGAAGCTGATGGAAGCTGGATCCTTCTGGAGGAGAGAGGAGAAAGTACAGCTCTTGGACTTTGGGTTCCAGTGAAATCGCCACTCACTCCTGTGACTTTTATGGTTCTAGACACTGCCATGCTGCTCTTCCTAGCCATGCCCATGCTTGCAGTGGGAGGAATCCTGTTCCTTATCACCAACCTACAGGTATGAGCCTGTGTCCCCTTCCCTTATCCCAGGCAGCTGAGGGAGGGACAGACATCATTTGTTTCCAGAGGGGTTGACCCAAATTAGAGTGGAAGGAATTGGGGTACAAAAGGGTGGAGACATTAATCATGCCTGGCATATGCTTGGGTACTGAGGAGAATAAATAATTGTTTCATGAATAAGTAAGTCAGTTAAATTTGTCTTGTCTTCTCCAGATTGGAAATCTCTTTGGCAAACACCGTTCAACCATTATCACCCTCTACAATGGGGCATTTGACTCCTCCTCGGCAGTGTTTCTCATCATTAAGGTAGGAATACCAGAAGCTGGGGATGAGGGGATAACCCAGTCAGTAAAGTGCCCACTGTGTGAGCACAACTACCCGAGTTAGATTCCCAGAATCTCTGTAAAAAGGCTGAGTGTCCTGACGTGCGCTTGTAATTCCAGTGTGGAGTGTTACAAACAGGCAAATCTCAAGGCCACTGTGAGACCCTGTCCTCTGGTCTCTGTATACTTTCACACACACAATACTAACTTAACATTTATTGAACACTTGAGCCCTTATTAATTCCAGTCGCTTGTCCTGTGAACTCTGCATGACTTCTGCCAGTCCTGGAGGTAGGCACATTCCTCAGGTGACACACTTGAATGTTAAGGAGATCATGATGCCTGTCAGAGGTCCTGCACTGGCAACTATGATATTTGAACCTGCACTTAGGCCTGTTTATTTCTAAAGATGCGCTTGGGACCACTAAGCCCCTCTTTACACTAAGCCTATACTCTTTGCTTGGTGAAGAAGGAAGATACGATCATGATATACTTGGGTCAGGGATGGATAGAAACTTGAAACTCTGTAAAAAGTAGCATTTTGCTGATACGTGCTTCTACCTTGGAAAAGTGGGTAAGAAGGGCTAGTGAGGGCCTTAGAGACTTCACGAGGGCCTTTCTATTTCTCCCAAGGGCTCGTTGTGAGTGTCCGGAGAACAAACTGTTGGCAAGGATATTAGAAGCCCATTAACAACCACTCTGCTAATGGTTTTGTTTGTTATTAAATTAATTAATTGTTATTATCATTTAAGAAAAGGCCTCTTAGGCTGGCCCAAGACTCACTGTGTAGTCCAGTTTGTTCTTAAACTCATGATCCTTCATCCTTAGCCTTCCAAGTGCTGGGATTATAGACGTGTGTCATGATTCCTAGCTTCAATTAATTTATTTTTGAGACAGTGTCTGACTATGGAGGACAGGGTGGACTGAACCTTGTAGCCCAGGCTAGCCTCAAACTCTCACTCCTTTTGCCTTAGGCTCTCCAGTGCTGTGGTTATAGGCAGGAATCACCATACCTGGCTTTGTTAATGATTTTAGTGTCTAAGTCATTACTAACAGTTTTATCTGGCTAGTGCCTTGCCTAACTCATGGGATGAATTCTGGTTAGTCTAAGTAAATGATGGCAAACTCTGTCTCTACTACCACTGACACATAGAGGTGGGCGTGTCCTACCTTTGCAATGAGATAGAGTGGGTGTATAGTGTAGGACTTCAGGGGACGTTTCTTCCCTGAAGGAGGGTTTTCGAAAGCAGAGTAGAAAAAACCCTGGAGGCTAGCTCAGTTGTTAGAATGCCTCCCTTGCAGGCACGAAGCCTTGGGTTCAAGCCCCAGCACTGCATAATCAAACTTGGTAGCACACCTTTAATCCCAGCACCAGGGAGATGAAGGCAGGAGGATGAGAAAGTCAAGGTCATTGTATATTATACAATGAGCTTGATGCCTGCCTGGCCTACCCAAGACCTAGTTGCAACAACAGAAGCCTTCTTCCCTGCCTCTCTCTGTTCCTCTTTGAAGATTGCAGCGGGAAGGAAGGTGTAATAGTTGACACTGCAGTAACCACACTTGGGTTGTAACCAGATGGAACACGAGGCCTGGAAACAGGAGCAAAAAATGATGGACCCCAAACTGTCCAACCTGGGCTTCTCTCTGGGGTTTTGTTAGGCCAGTCATGGGCTCATGAGCCTCATTTAGTCCCATGAGCAGTTTTACAAGAGATCTGAGTCCCTGAGGCTCTCCAGACCCTTTGCAGGTGGCGCAAGAGCCACTTTCCAGGTTTCTTTCCCTTACTAGGAAAAGCTTACCTGGATGCATCTCCTTCTCTTTGAAGGTGGAAGGGAGGGGCTGGAGCAGGAGTGGGATTCTTGGTTTAATATGACTCGGTTGGTTCCTGTGTGGCCATCTTGCCTCTCCAGACCTCAGTGTCACTTTCTGTAAAAGGAAGAGGTTTGTCTCACTTTGTGGTTTCTAACCTGGAAGTTGAGGAATTTAGAGGTTTCTTTTGTTCTATGAGTCACCCAGGAGAACACAGGGGAGGATCCCTCTGTAGCTTCCCACAGATGTGTTTTGTAAGCTGACCTCTTGTGTAAAGAGTTGCCCAGAAGGACTTCTTGCTATTGTGGGCAGGGTAAGGGGCAGGAATAGCATTAAACAAGAAGATCTCTGAGAGTCGTGAGAAGAGGTACCACAAGATTGTAGGGACAGGCGACAAGATGGCTCCCTGTTGCTTACTAGGCCCTATGTAAAGGGGCATGCAGACCAGGGATCTTTTTGCAGCTCCAGGAGGGCAGGCAGGAGGCTCTGCTGAAGCTTAGGTAATGTGGCTTTCAGCTTCTGCCTCCTAGGCTTTTCACACGATAAAATACATATAGTATAAAATTTACTATCAAAAATTTTAAAAATTATCTATTGATGTAGGGTGTGTGTGTGTGTGTGTATGTGTGTGCACGCGTGCATGTGTGCATGTACCACAGCATGTCTGTGGAGGTCAGAAGACAACTTGAGGGAGTCCATCCATCATATGGGTTGTGGGTGTTGAACTTAGATCATCAAGTTTGGCAGCAAGCACCTTTACCCACTAAACCATTTTGCCAACCCATAATCATCTTGTAAGTGTACAGGTTAGTAGTTTAGGTGCATTTATGCTATTGAGCAACCAGCACCATCATCCATCTTGAGAAAATTTCACATTATAAAATTGGAACCCTGTATCCATTAAACACACGTTCCTCATTCCTTCTGCCCGTTTCCAGCCTCTGACAATTGCCATAACACTTTGTATGAGTTTGACTACCCCATGAATCTCCTGTGAGCAGAATAATACGAAAAGTTGTCTTTTGGTGACTGGCTATCTTCATATGATGGAATGTTCTCTATGTTCATCTGTATTGGGGTGTGTGCCATGATGTTCTTCCTTTTGTAAAGGCTGTGGTATAGTCCATCAAGTGGCTGTACCACACTTTGCTCATTCAGTCGTCTGTCCACAGACACTTTGGTTTCTCTCCGCACTTTTGACTATGGTCTGTAATGCTCCTAGGAGTACTGGTGTTATCCTGATGTGTTCTTTTCTCCACAGATTCTTTATGACCAGAGAATCAGCCTCAGGTCTTCTTTCATCTTCCTGTCTGTCTGCAGTGTCTGGCATGTTGTACGTACTTTGCTTTTGATGCCCCAGGGACATATCCCCTACCCACTGCCTCCCAACTACAGCTATGGGTAAGTATGATTGGCCAATATCCCATTTGATCTGAGGTAGGAAAAAAGGAAAGACTATCCCTGCTATAGGAGAAGAGTGTATTTGTTAGCTACTCCTGTATAACAAGCAAACATTTCATTTTTCTTTTTTTTTTAAAGATTAGCTTATCTTTATTTTGTGTAGATGAGTGTTTTGCCTGTGTAAATGCATGTGTACCGTGTCCATGGAGGTCAGAAAAGGGTGTCAGGTCCCCTAGAACTAGAGTTACAGATGACTGTGAGCTGCTACGTGGGTACTGGGAACCAAGCCTGGATCCTTTGAAGGAGCAGAGAGTCCTCTTAATGGCTGAGCCATGTCTCCAGCTCCTAAGAATTTATTTCTTACATCTGTGCCAGACTTGGATGATCTTATCATTTATGCCTCTAATCATTTGATGTGTTAGCAGGGAGTTGGCTGGTCTGCCAGGGCCTCGCTTACATTGAGTTTGGAGTAACAGGAATGTCTATGTCACAGGCTATCCAGCATTCTTGCTTGGGTGTGTACACATAGTGGTTCTGGGGTTCAGAGAGGGGGGCGGTAACACACACAGTTCTTTGAGGCTTCTTCAACTTAGAATTGATGTATCACTTGTGCTCGGCTGGAGCAGTTCACATGTCTAGCCTAGATGACGATGAGAAATGGGCAGAGTCCCATTGTCAAGGATGGAGACAGAGGAGGTGGGGTGCCGTGATCACACCGGCTGTCAGTTACAGGGAGCCAAGGGGGCATCTTCACTTGCTGCTCGCTTGCTCTTTGTTGTACCCCGTATGCTCTTTGAGCTCATTCTCATGGTCTCATTTCCTACTGATAGCCATGTACTGGTAGCCATGTACTGATGGCAGTGCCTTCATTTTTCATCTGGGAATATGAGGCTCTGAGGGGTAAAACTGGAGTCACATGAGAAAGAGTCAGAGCTGAGACTTGTAGCAAGACCCATTCTCTTCTTCCATACTTGTAGGCTACCCCAAATTTGTCTGTCTGTCAGAATCAATCAGATCATTACAATAAAAAATAAAATGGAAACATGGAAACCTGGCTACTAGCCAATAGACATTCGGATTTAGTTGGCCTAGGTTGCCACTGGGCCATCAACGTTGTTCAAGAGTGATTCCATGTGAAGTAAGATGAGGATCTTCTGTTTTCCGATCTTGTTCTAGTCAAGCTCGTAGACCTTGGGCTGAGTGCTGGGGCTTCTGTTTCCACAGCTTGTGCTCCAGGTTTGGCACTAGAAAGGAAGAGAATAAGGCAGCCGAGCATGAAACCAAGGAGCTGCAGTCAAAGGAATGTCTGTCACCAAAGGAGGGTGAGTTCTGCTTCACCCATGTCCCCTGCAGACACAGGCAGCCCTATGCCCTGGTGGCTTCTCATCTGCTTTTAACTCCAGGAAGTCATCCCAGGGGTTCAGAATGAGGCCAGGCCGTGCAAGGAAGAGCCCATAAGCATTTTTTCAATCCCCTTACTTAAGAGAGGGCCCAGAAAGGGCAGGATCTTTGTGTGTCTTCAGTGTCTCTTTCTTACCGTATCCACCGCATACCCCAGCTCTCCTCACACGGAAATCTATCTTCCATTGCCCTGGTCCCTACACTCTGGTCTTGCCCTCTCCTGGGATTCTAGGGCACCAAGGTTGGCATCTGTGTCTCCGTTTTTTTATGACTCTTGGCTCTGACCTCTTTCCATCCGTACCATCCCCATCACTTCCTCCTTCCCTCCTCTGTCTGCTCTGAGTCTTTGCTTATGAATATTATAAACCATTGTTAGCTACAGTAAAAGTAAAAATAGGAGGAGGAGGGAGGGTTTGGAGGGAGGCAGGTCATAGGGCAGCAGTAGCAGCTGGACAGGAGAAAGCAGTTTCCAGAGCAGAGCAGTTAATAGAATTACATTGTATTTGATATATATATATATATTTTTTCTATATGAGCAGATTTTAGCTGTTCTTGGCACACACACAAAAAAAATGGGCAACAATGTGAGGTGATGGATATGTTAATTTGCTTTGCTATGGTAACCATTTTACTATCTATATGTACCCGATGACAGCATGTTGTGTGCTTTAAATACACACAATAAAATTTATTTGTTAAAAAAAAAAAGAATAAGGACCAGGGTTGTAGCTCAGCCGGTAGAGCCCTTGCCTGGTATATGCAAAGCCTTGGGGTCAATCCCAGCACTGTATACATCTAGGAATAACGGAAAGAAGGATCAGGTCAGTGTCAACCTTAGCTACATTGTGAGTTCGAGGTTAGTCTGGGCTACATAAGACCCTGTCTCAAACAGTAAAGAGAGCAAGAGGACTGGAAGGCTCACATAATCAAGAGGAAAGTGAACCTGCCAGGTTACAGAGGTGTGGCCCCAGGCTGCCTCTGAGCACCCCTGTGTATCTAAGTCCTAGCCAGTCTGCCTACGTAGGGAGAATGAGTTAATTGGTCAGTTGGATGAGGAACAGAATGTTTAATGCGTGGTCCCTATTGGACCAGAGAGAACAAGAGGGTCCTAAGGAAATGAGGGATTCTGGGACCGAAAGAAAGGTAGGGGACACAGAGCCGACCAGAACAACAGCTTTTCATCTTAACCCTCAGTTTGTCCCAAGATTCTCCTTGGTTTTCATTTCGCCATCTTGGCTGAGAATGATCAGGAAAGTACTACAGCAAGAAGTGTCCCTGGGCAGGCTGTGAGAGACAGATCAGATTTCAAGACACCAAGGACAGGAGGAGAGCCATCTAAGGTTGAAGGACAAGATGATGAAGCATGGTGGAGGGGGTGGGGGAGTTTTAGTTAGCTCATAGAAGACAAGAGTGGATGGTGAACTTCGGCCTGAGACTGTCTTGTTACGGGCCACTCTGGCCCATCCAGCCCTTTCTCTTTCCTTGTCATTTATGCTGAGTTCCTCCCTTCCCTATCAGAGAACTCCGGACCAGAGCAGCAGCAGCAGGAGCAGGAACAACACTCTTTCCAACGCTGCGTACTCTCTCGCCGATTCATCTTGCATGTGATGTGGTTGTCTGTCATACAGTTGTGGCATTACCTCTTCATTGGTACTGTCAACTCTCTACTCACCAAGTTGGCTGGTGGGGACAAAGAGACAGGTATGTGGGCTTCAGAGGAGTCTTTTGAGAGGTCTCAAGTAGGAACCTAGGGCCCTGAGAGACTCAGGAATCGATGCTGTGCCAGCAAAGCTATGTATTCCAGAGTGGTTTCAGAGGGTCTGGGGAGGAGGGCTGGAGAAGAGAAAGGTGTGATGGCAGAGTCTTCTCTTGTGAAGTAGCCTGAAAATTTCTTCTCACCCAACTCCTATTTTTTTTTTTTTTGTGCCTTCACAAGTCAGTGCCTACACAAATGCCTTTGCCATCACCCAGTTTTTTGGTGTGCTGTGTGCCCCCTGGAATGGCTTACTCATTGACCGCCTTAAGCAGAAGTATCAGAAGGAAGCCAAAAGGACAGGTAAGCCTGGGATCTGGGAGTCAGGAGCAGAGATCTTCATAGACTTCCACAGCCGCCTTGTCTTTGCCTTTATTCTCTCTCCCTGACTGCTTCATCCATCCATTCAACCCTTGGACATAAATTTTGTGTCAGCCATGGTACCAGACCTATGGATGAGACAGGTAAATCTTGTCTTCTTCAGCTGTACTAATCTAGAGGTAGTAGCAATCAATAAAGAATAGATAGCCTGTTACTGACAGAGTGCTGGAGTCCATGACCAGGCAGAGTCACACCCACACAGCCATTCTGTTTTCCTATTTCCATTGTCCACAAATCATATGAGATATCCAACACTTTATTGGATAGTGGGCTTACTGTTGGGTGGTTTTCTCAGATGATGTGAAATGTTCTGAGCATATTTGAGCTAGTATACATTGAGCCATGATACCCCATAGGCTAAGTATGTTAAATGCATTTTCGACTTGCTGATATTTTTGGCTTCCGATGGGTTTTGCTGGATATAGCTCTACTGTGAGTCATGGAGCCTCTGTGTGGCATGAATGGGCATCAGACCATGGACACTAAGAAGGGCACATTGCCTGTTCTGGGTGAGGCAGGGTTGTTGTCAGGGAAGGCTTCTTCAGAGGGAGTGACAGACCAGGATGGAAAAGACAAAAAAGGGAGGGGAAGAGGAAGAGCCCGATGGTGGCTAAAGACCACAATGGCATGACAGAGTTGACAGACGTAGGTATTCAGGAATCTGGATCCTTTCTGTGAGTGATTCAGGCTAATCAGAGGGCAGAGTTTGAGAGAGTTGCAGGAAAAACCAGGAGAGAGCATAAGAAGGCTTTCAGGCTACTCACTGTGCCTCAGAGTTAGAACCTGTTCCTTGGGTGTGACTGGCAGAGCAGAAGGATGCTGGGATGTTTTACCCTGTGTGAGCTGAGAGATAAGGGAGAAAAGGAGGGAGCACTGGTGACTTTGCTTTGTCTCCTCCCACCTCTGCATCCTAACCCCACTACAGTATTACTTGCAAATACTTCATAGGCTCTTCTTAATAAAAAACAGTCTCCATTCAGTCAATATCACCACAAAAATCCCCATTAATTCTTAATATTTTCTAATATGCAACTAACTGCCTTTCACATCTCCCGGTTGACCTAAGAACATTGTTTCCCGACTGATTTGTTCAGCATCTCCATACAAAGTCCACTCAAAGCTGAGAGGACAAACCTCAACTGATGTATCCTTTGCATCTTCATTTTTAGATATTTATTTAAGACAGGGTCTCATCTAGCTTAGGCTAGCCTTAAAGTTACTATGTATCCAAGGCTGGCTTTGAACTTACTATGTAGTTTAGGATGGCCTTGAACTTCTGATCTTTCTGCTGTCACTTCCCAAGTGCTGGGATCACAGGCTTACTACCATACCCAGCTAGTAGACTTTTTCTCCCTCTTCTTCTTTGGTACCCGAGTCTCATGCATGCTAAGCAACTACTTTGTCACCAAGTTGTATCCCCAGCCCCAATTCCTTCTTTCACAATTACGTCAGCGCCCCTCCTCTTGTTTATTTGTTGAAGAAAGGAGGATCTTTTTCCTGTCAGATTTCCCACATTTGGACGTGGCATCTTTTGTGTATTTCATTGAATGGGTTCTTTTGATTGGGATAGATTAAAGGCATGCGTCACCACTGCCCAGCAGTTTGTTTTTTGTTGTTGTTGTTTGTTTTGTTTTTTGGCAAGAGTAGGTAGAAATGGAGTTGTGGCCTCTCTGGTTCCTTCACAGGTCCCTGCTATTTATGGTCTTCGCTGTTATGACATGGAGATAGATCAGCTGCTTCAGAACTTAGCCTGATCCATCCATTATAAAGCTTCCCATCAGTCCAACCAGCTAATGATTTTGCACTGTGATCAATTTGAGACCCATGATTTGATTAGGGTGCTATTTCCATCTTTCCTCTGCCTTTTAGCAGCTCCAATTCCTCCAGAAGACACAGCTTCTCAAACTGTTTTTTTGTACTAAAGTAAACGCTTGCCTTCTTCCTCTGCTTAACCAGTCTCAGGATGACCGCACATCCCACCAGAGGCAAGTGGGATTCCTGTCTTTAGAGTCCAGCTGTAGACATACTGAAGCTCAGTGGTCTCATTTTGTGTCTGAGTTTTTAAAACTTTATGGGTTTTGTTTTTTTAAAAAACTTTAGTTTTAAGAATTTCATATGTGTATACCATGAGATAGGATCTTACCTGATTTTCTTTCATTCATTCATTCATTCATTCATTCATTCTTTCTCTCTCTCTCTTTCTTCCTTCCTTTCTTTCTTTCTTTCTTTCTTTCTTTCTTTCTTTCTTTCTTTCTTTCTTTCTTT